CGCTCCTAGACCCAATTTCCCCACTTCAAAAGAAATATTATTGCGTTAGCTTTTTAATGCAACTGACAGCAACTCAAATAAACTTATGAAACTCAAGTTATGCATGAAATAAGACTCTCAATCCACATTTATGTCTACCTGCGATTTTCTACTTTTTTTTCTCCCTATTGAACAGATTCGAAACTCGCATGTTTCGCCTATTTGAGTTCTAACCGCTCTAAAAACATACAGATAAACAACCATACACAATAGGGTACAACTTTTCCAATTTTATATTTCCGCCTCATGGCATCACCACAGTTCATCAATCAACACCATACAACAAAGGCAGAAAGAGCACCAAAGAGAAACATACACATTTATTTAAAATTCTCCTTATACAAGGCATAAGGCATCCACAAGCATTCAAATAAAACAGTAGAATATTTCTCAAAAATCAATCAAAAAGGTTTTTGGTCAAACCTTTTGGCCACAAATATAGAGCATAAACACAAACAAGGCAGAAGGGTTCAAGGCAAATCATTTGGTCACAAACAGACAATTCATATACTGAATTGATAAGGAAAAGATACGAGGGTTAGGATCCCTCGTTATCTGACTGCCTAAACAGCATATGTAAAGAATTCCCCCTATCTCAAAGTTGCTTGATCATTAAACTCTCTTGTCTTCTTCCTTCCTAGGATTGCTCTAACCTCCTGCCACATTTTATAATTTCTCAATTTCACCATATCACAGAACTTTTCCTCGTAGGATCTATTTATTTAAGCTAAAACTCTGATTTACTTACTTCACCCAAATTTCCCTTCACACCTCACTAAACTCTATTTTTCTAAAATTTTAATTTATTTAAATAAATAATACTTTAATTAAATAATTATATAGTTTTTTTCTAATAAACTCAATTATTTCAAATAATTAATAATTCTATTATTCTCAAATCTCATTACACCCTTATCTCTTTACTTTAAACACCCTTTTCTCTCCAATTTTCTATTTATTAATTAATTAATTATAATTAAATATCAAAAACTCCAATAAAGCACATATAAAACTTAAATAAATTTAAAAAAAAAAAATAATAACTAAAGTTGAGGTGTTACGATGTCAATGATAGGTAATGTTATGAATGTCATATGGAGTAAACTTATAAGACTATAGCCTATAGTCAGGATCCTGAGCAAACCTATAGCAGGAATCAAAACACATATGAAAAGGTGAAAGGTGACCTTCTTGAGGCACAAACAACCCTGCTACAAGACAGAATGAATGCCTTGAATATTGACAAAGTGAAAAGCATACAGAGGAGATGATCAGGTGGAATGATTTGCAAGAGCAAGTCTTAAGACAAAAGTCCAAGATTGAGTGGCTCAGACTTGAGGTTATAGAGTTCTTTGGGAACTTGTTGGGGACCATATCTTGCAACTTGAATGGGATAGATATAACATCTCTTAGATATGGGAATCAACTGACCATGGAAGAGATAGCATCTCTCATTGCCTCTATGACTGAAAAGGAGATTGAGCGGGCTCTTTAAGGCATTGGAGACCTAAAAGCTCCTAGATGAGATAGGTATGGAGAAGAATCTAGAAGCTTGAAGGCTAGAAGGGGCCTAAGACAAGGGGACCTCATGTCTCCCCTTTTGTTTGTTATAAACATGGAATACCTGCTTAGGTCCCTGCAGTAACTGAGGAAAATCCCAACTTTAATTTCCACTCAAAATGTGAAACACTGCACATCATAAACCTCAGTTTTGCTGATGATTTACTTTTGTTTTCTCGAGGGGATACTAGATCAATTGAGCTATTGATGAAGAACATCAATGAGTTCTCTAAGTCCACGGGCTCACAGTTAACACTGCCAAATACAAGGCCTGCTACGGTGGGATTTGAAAGTAGCACAAAAACTGAGATACAAGCCTTCACTACTTTTGTAGAAGGTTGTCTCCCCTTCAGATACCTAGGAGTGCCTCTCACAAGCTAAAATCTCTCTAGCGAGCAATACATGATTTTGGTTGATAAATTTGCATAGAGAATTCATCACTGGAGTGCACAACTTCTAAGTTTTGCTGGAAGAGTGCAACTTATCGTAAGTGTGCTCTTTGCCACCACTAATTATTGGTTCCAATGTCTACCTTTGCCCAAAATAATTCACAAATTGGAGGCAATATGCAGAACCTTCTTGTGGACTGGAAAGAATGAAATAAAAAGGAAATCTCCAGTAGCTTAGAAGCAGGTGTGTGCCCTCAAAAACCAGGATGGTATGAACCTGACCTCTATGTGGGAGTGGAATCAAGCTAACATGATCAAGCTTCTTTGGAATCTATCTCAGTGGCAAGGTCGATAGCTTATGGATCAAGTGGATCCATTGTTATTACATCAAGAGCTACGACTTAATGATTGTGCCGGTCAACTCTACGTGCTCCTGGATCCTCGAAGCAATCCTCAGGTAGAGGGATGTGGTACAAAACACACAAGAATGGTATCAAGTCCAGGTCAACACTAAGCTCTCCACCAAAAAGATGCATCATGTACTCAGAGAAAATCAACATACAGTACACTTGAGGAAATTGTTTTTCTGTAATGTGGCTAGGCCAAGGGCGTTGTGTGTAACTTGGCTTGCTTGCCAACAAAAGATAGATTGCACAAATTTGGCTTTAATAGCCAATGAAAGTTATTGTTTCTGCAATCACACAGAAACATTAGACCACTTAATGTTTGCTTGCTCTACATTGAAAAATATTTGGATGCATATTCTTAACTGGCTACACAATTCACATTCACCAAGAGAATGGAGGGATGAACTATAATGATTATAAAGAACAAAGGAAAGGGATGGAAGGCCTGACTCATCAAGACCATGTTTGCTGAAACGATTTATGAAACCTGAAAATATAGAAATGACATTTGTTGCGGTAATAATGTAAGTAATACGAGTATAGGAAGAAAAAAATCATAAATAACATAACCTATAGGGTGTAGAGCAAACCTAGGTTAAGAGAGCATGTTGCCCTTTTTTTGGTTGGTTATCATTAATTTACTTATTTTGGTGTCTGGATCATTAGGATTCGCCTTTATAAATAACCACTATTTTGATTATATCAAATTTTGATTTATTCAAAAAAAAAATCAAAAATAATATATATTCAGACATCCATTAGAACTTATGAATTGTATGTGATACTAATTTATAAGAGAGTTGATGTGTTAAATTCTAAGACGAGGACATGAAAATTAAGACAAAGCTTTATATATTGCAAATATATTACTCATTTTTCTAATGCTATATTAATGAAAATAAACGTGAGTGACTGGGAAGTAGCATAGCGAAACCCAGGGCTACTTTTCGTTCAATCCATCATTTGGAGGAATTGATCAATATAATAATATATATTATTATTCTCAATTAAATTATGAATATTCTTGAGTTTGTAACATTGCAGCCTGTTGTGTGCATGGATTACTCAACTGTCTACGGGATTCAAGGAACTCAAACCTGTGATTGTATTGCTTGAAGGGAAAGAAAAAAAAAGTTATAATAAGTGGTACTGTTAGCCTCATTTTGTTCATAAATTGTTCTTTTAAGTAATTAGTTTAATTTTGGATGATTGTTTGTTAATAGAAACGTACAACTGTTTGTGAAATTATTTTCTACGGCGTTTAAAACTGTTATAAAAAGTTATCTGAACTTTTGTACTGAATTGGTTTTTAAACTGTTTTTATGAACCAGCAGAACTTCCTTCTTAAGAGAGTCATATAGTAAATTGGAGTGAACCGAAGATGCCTTCAAATTTATTTTTAATGGAATGAAAAAACCAAGCAAATCAATTCAATTCCTCAGTCCTGCAAGCATGTCAAACAAACTTAGTATTCAATTTAACTTCCCCTATCAAACCTTAGTAATCAGTGAGGATAAGCAGAATTGCAGGAATACAGACTACAGTAAATAAGTAGAATCAAATGATGTTCAGCAGAGGACGGTTAACTCCTTGCATATCTGAAATATAAAACTGCCAAACTATGAGTTGGGATAATACTAAACTGCACAAAAACAAATAACAGATGAAGTTTCTAAAAATTTCTGAATCAAATCACAAATGGACATTTGATCTCAGACTGAGTAAATGGAAAAAAGAGAACCGGTAAAAAGTTATAAATTCCTCCTACAAAGAAGATGCGAAACCCCTGCTTCTGCAATTCATTGATTCTACAATTTGTATGTTTCGTGCTAATTTAAATTGTACAAAACTCAATACATCATAGAACAGACATCATACAAAATATAAAGCATGTCTACGCTGTGGAGGTAGAGAGTTGAAGGTGAATCTAACAAGACAGTAGGGTATAACAGTCTAAATAGAGGAAAGTCAGAAAACAACATTCTTGAATGTGGAATCTTTTTAAAAAGGAATGAATAAAAGGAAGAAACAACAGAAGTATAAATAAAATGAGTTAGTAACATGTGTTATGGAAGGGTAAAATTATAAATGAAGGAACAACAAAATTGTATATATAGATAAAAAAATACCACATCATAGTTCTATGTTGTTTGAACTATTCTTGCCTCCATAATTCATTCTTTTTGGTAGTGCCAATCCGTACGAGCTATTTTTTTTGTAAAAGCCCATGTGTTTTCAGCATTAAGGAACTGCACTCATTTTACTTGAAGTTGTTTCTATGTGCTCTCAGTAACTGCTTCTTTATTGCAAACAAATAACTTTCAATTGGACAAAGAAAGTCTTTCAATCATGAGATACGAACGCCTAATTTTATGGGATCAAACAGCCATAGTAGATTTTTAATATCCTTGACCGTCCAGTGCCTCCTAATAAATGACTATGGCTTGGCAAAGCTTACTAGTCTTAAAAACTTGGGAAGAGAATAGATAACTCAAAACAAGGTATGTGCAATCATTTCCTGGTAATTCATGATTAGACTAGCTATCCATCATTCCAATAGGAATTAGTACTTGACGATAAAAACGATTTTCCAGAGTTGTCAACTTCACCTAGAGCAAGAGCCAAATTTTCTCATCAGTTCTATATTTTCAGCAATTGTTGATCCAGGAGTTCCAATAAAACCAAGAGTTGCACAACTGCATACAGCCTGCTCAACATAAAGAAGTACATCAGGCAATCTCTGATTGGAACAATACTTATTGCCAATTCTAGACTCTGAACTTGGAATAAACCTCTGTCCGTAACCTGCTGCGGTTAGTTTCTTCGCTGCTTGCATAACCAGCTCATCGTTCTCTCTTAAGAAATGCACCTCATAGTTATGTGCATCACTAGTTAAATCACCTAAATAGGTATCCGTCCATTTATCTCTAGGAAGATCAGTCATTACAAAAATATGTATGGGCAGAAGACCTTTCTGCCTCAAAGACTCTAATTTTTGTCTTAACCCATCAAATGTAGCCTTATGATGATTCTTAAACTGCCCGTCTAGCAACCTAAGTTGTGCGCAAAAAAATTGAGCTTTTATGGTTGCTTTAGCAAACTCCTTTCCGGCATTCATAACTTCTGGGACATATGGAAGAAACTTAATCTTCTCCATCAAAGATAAAAACCTCTGGTCCTGATGTGATTCGTGAATATCAACATATGACTCAGAACCTTTGTATGGAGCAGAGAAAAGGCTTCCAAATGCTAGCATTGAAGCTGATTCAACTTCAGAACCAGGTCCAAGCGTCCTAAATACATCCTTCCGTCTCCTAACATATGATATTTTCTTTTTCTGCTTTAGCTGTTCATCAGGTTGGAATGAATCTAACACACCATTCTCACGACCATCTGTATGGTAAGTCCATACTGTAGTTCTGCAATCTTCATTGATAGCATAAATACACTTTTCAATATTCCCACGAAACCCTGCTAGCAGAGATCCACATTGCTCTAGGCTTTTAGAAGCGGAGGACTGTGATGTTGAATCATTATAACAAGCCAAATCTAAGCTGATGCCACACCATATCGATACAAAATCCCTAAGATCAATAACTCGAACAAGACTAGAAGAAATTAAAGAAGAAATATCTATAACTTCAGCAATGGAGATATACCTGCAAGAAAAACAAAGAATGAAAACTTACAATTCATATCGATGACCAAGAGCAATGAAGTTTCAAATACAAATGTTTCATGACACAAAAATCACAGAAGAAAAATGTCACTCATACCCTTAAATCATGGTTTGAATGCTACCGACATGGCTTTTAATATAAATGGAAACTAAATCAATTGCATGTAAAAGGAAAAAGTATTATCTGACTAAATTTATATTTCAAAGGAATCATGTTGTGAAAATCAAGGAATAGAAATGAGCAATTTTGTCGGTATTTAGGCTATGTTTGAATTGGTTTACTTAAGCTTATCTACTATCATATGGAAACATCGTTCATAAGTTATTTTAAGCTTATTTAAATAAGCTCTTAATATGTAAAAAAGCCTATAGCTTATATGAAAAAAGTTAAACTTTATTTGATCTTTTGTTACGGAAACAGCTTATTATACTAAGCATTTATGTTATAAGTGCTTAATCAAGCTGTTTATCCAAGCAAAACAATAATGTCAAACCGAAAATAGCATCCATACAAGTTACAACTTTACTCCATTTTATATTTGATGAATCATGAGTTATTACAAATCATTTATAAAGACACAAGATAACACGACAAAATTACTGTTATACGAACTATTTTCCAAAAACAATAACAAGATGATCAACACACATCTGAAGCATTTTTTGCATCCTACTTCACCAGAATTCAACAAACTAACTAACCTTCCATCCCGAATGAGCTCAATGATATGATTCCAAACCGAAATCCGAATATCCTTCGGTTCCATAACCCGGAACTTAGGACAGCTACCTAGCGCAACAGCATGATGATCCAAAAGAGGAGGAACAACCAAAGTTCGATTAAGTATCCCTGCAATCAAAACAGCATGTTTAAATTCCAAAAGCTGGTTGTTGAATCCACTGTGAGGCGCATACCACATGAATCTCTCAGTAAATGCCAAGGCTTGGGAGGAGCATTGAAGCGTTGTTGAAGTTTGGGCGAAATCACTGAAATGAGAATTACGTTTCACGTAATAGGAATAAAGAATAAGAAAGGAAAAGAACGTAATGAAGAGGGAAACGGGAATGAGTGGGAAACGGGAATGCGGTTTTCGTTTAGGTAACATTGGGTTAGGGTTTGATGATATTCGAATTGTGTTAGGGTTTGTAGATGTTGATTTGGTATGAAAAAATCGCAATCTGTAAAAAGGCGTGAATTATACGGATCTGTGTCGATCAACACCCTCCGGCCTCCGTGGATGTAGTTTGGTAACGACGGTTGCAATGCCGGAGAAGAAGATAGGGAGATTTGATATACCGAGTATTGAAGTGGGTTTTGTTGAAGATTATGGATAAATTAGACTAATGAATTTATCTAAGAAAGGTTTTAAAGAATGATGAATCAACTTGGTTAATCTTCAATGTGTTATTAGCGATGTTTTAAAAAACGAGAATAGCAGTGTAGAGAAAGATTTGAAAGACCCTAGTTCGTCTTGCTGATGATGAGATCGAGGAGGATAGGCAGATGGTTACCCGGGCTGATCTACTCGCTAGGATACGGATGCTGGAAGGTGATTGTCTGGATACTTTCGCCGCGAGTTTCAATGGTGTTGTCGCACAGCTTAAAGTGGTGAACTCTGGTGTTGCCTTGGTCGAGGATGGCATCGGGCCCTTCCACGAGATAATCGATGACCCCAACGCCAAGGAGGTTGTCCCCGTGGTCCCTCCCGTCGAGCCTGAAGCGGAGGAAGAAGAAAGAGCCTAGATTAGTTTCGGGTCTGCGTGCCCGCGTATCCTGGCCTGCGTGCCAATCACTTTGTATTTTTCTGTTTTCTTTATCGGGTCTGCGTGCCCTTACTGGTGATGTAATATTGACTACTGGGCTGGTGCCCGCTTTTATATATTTATATCTGTACCTATCTATCCGCTATTTTTAATGCGCACAACATAGGAAAATAAACGCGTGTATATTTTGTATAAAGTTTTTATCATATTTAAGATTAATTAAAAATAATATTTTTAAATATCGTCAAGCAGTCATCAAATCAGGATGATAAATGTATATATATTAAAAATACTTTAGTGAATTAACTATATATATTAATGCTACTATTATTTTAAACATACCGAATTAAATAAAATTTAGATAAAAAATATGTTGTCTAAACATGCTAATAATATTATTACATTTTGAAAATGATAAACAAAGTTATTCTAAAGGAATAGACGGACGCTAAATAGAAACGCTGTGGATACAAAGTGGACAAAGATTCGAATCAATTTCTCATAATCTAAACAGAAACGCTCTAAACTTAATAGTTAATAATTTTTAAGACTCCCTATGAATTGTGGAAGAACATAAAACCTAACATTTCATATTTTCATTCTTTACTGAGATTTCATAACTCTCTAAACATAAACACTCTAAATTTAATTAAAAAAAGAGCTAATAGGATAAAGAATGTTAGGTTGTATCCTATTAGCTCTCTTGGCATGTATCCTAATATTGAATCTCTAAACAATGTTAGGTTGTATCCTATTAGTTAATAATTTTTAAGACTCCCTATGAATTGTGGAAAAATATAAAACCTAACATTTCATATTTTCATCCTTTTCTGAGATTTCATGACTCTCTAAACAGAAACCCTCTAAATTTAATTAAAAAGAGAGCTAATAGGATAAACAATGTTAAGTTGTATCCTATTAGCTCTCTTGGCATGTATCCTAATATTGACTTTGAAAATGAGAAATTGAAAATAATAAATAGTTGGATGATATTTTTCTACCTAGACTTTAGTCAATAAGTTAGGTTTTATGTTCCTAAACTTACACGAATTCATAGGGAGTGTGCGTCTGAACGCTAGTTATTATAAGTTAAGTTAATTAAATTTATGAAAAGCCACTCGACAGTGGTTTAGAATCTCTTGCAAGTCTAGATTCACATGCATGTTCTGATATAATAATTATAATAGAGGATCGATATTAAGCCCCCATATCCTGTAGTGCCATGAGTGATGATTCAGTTAAAATGCAACCTCAAGAATACCAACATACAGAAAAGGAAAGTGGTGGATAAAAGAGTAGGAGGAACTTGAGATAAAGATTCATGACTTATAGTATTATAGTTAATACTATAAGTCAGTGCCTCTTTCCCCCTTAAAAATTTTTAAGACTTGTTTTTCGTAATACAAGCTTAATAGTGATGCCTCTTTCCCTATTTTTTAAATCTAATAATTGTTCCTATAAGAGTCGTAGTTGAGAATCTGTTGGAACAAAGAACAACTCGATTGGGTTAATAACGGTGGAATTTGGAATTTAGGGATTTGAAATTGAGAGAGAAATAATAGAGAGAGATATATTGAGAGTGAGAATTATAATTGACATTAACCACAAATGGGAAACACTAAAGACTATTTATATAATATGTACAAAATGATTAGGAAAATACAAAACAACTTAAAAAAAAAAGCTAAAAAACTAAAAATGTCCAGTGTAATTAGTTACCACATTTGCAGTAACCGGTTACACACAATTCTCAAAAACACATGCTTCTATGTGAATAATGGGTAACCGGTTACCACATATCCGATAACCGGTTACACTAACTAAAATGTCAGAAAATCAGCTTTTAACACACCTCGTCATTTCAGTTGGTCCAAGTCCACCATGCTCAAACTTATCTTCAACCTCTTGAACACTTCATTTGTTACTCCTTTAATCAAAAAAATTCGCCATTTGGTCTTCGCTTCGACAATATCTCAATCTTAGTTTGCCTTCACTTGCTAGCTCCCTCATATAATGAAACTGAATCTCAATATGCTTACTTCTTCCGTGTGCAATCGAATTCTTTGCAAGGTTTATCGCATAAACATTATCACAAGAAGTGTGGTAGCCTCACTCTCATTGCTACCCAACTCCTTCAATAAATTCATGAGCCACATAACTTTACATGCACATAACAATATTGTAATATACTCGGCCTTACAAGACGAGAGTGCTACCACTGGTTCCTTCTTCGAACACCAAGAGTCTCTTTTTTGAGACATGTGCCAAGTGCAACCTGAATTCATAATCCACGCTTTTCTCGAGTCGCCACTTGAAACCACAAGAACATCATATGAGTTGAAGTCATCTTGAACAATGGTTGCGTTGCCATTACCTCCATGATCTTTTAGGCGTTCAGGGCACACCTTTCTTGTGTGACCCTCCTTCTTACAGTGATAACATCGAATACCAAATATTTTGCCACTATAAGACTTCTATTGACTTTTACTTTTCTTCTTGTCGAACTTACCATCATTTCGCAAGAATTTCCCCTTAACGGCCAAACCTTCGCCCACCGTCGAAGATTTATGCTCCTTCCGTTCGTTCAAATCCTTAGAATACAAGGCTGATTGAACTTCTTTAAAGGTCATGGACTCCCTTCCATACAAGAGAGTTTCTTTGAAGTGAGCATGTGTTATGGGCAAAGCACACAGCAGCAACAGTGCTTGATCTTCATCATCGATCTTCACATCAATATTTTCAAGATCAAGAAACACACAAGGGTTAGGGTTAACAAAGATAACAAGGTAAAACAACAAAGATTGGTTATTAAAATGTTATTCTTTCCTTACTCTTAGAAGAAGATTACAAATATACAAGAATAACAAAATAACCTCTCTCTTGAAATTAGGAATTTATCTTCCTATTTTTCCTTATGCCGAGATTGAGAAACTAGCATCCTATTTATAAGAAAAATAACACACTAGCCTAATGGGCTTTTTAACAATTACCCATTACAAGCTAACTTAAACAATTGAGCTTACAAGTAAGGTTGAATCCAATATGTTAACAACCTAGCAATATTGACTAAAGCATGTTAGAACAAACTTCGACTACAACACGCATTATTTTCGACAGCAGCATGCGAACAGACTTCGACCTCATGTTTAATTCTTGTCGAACCAGAAGCTACCCTTCAACCATACTAGAGTTCGATCCAACATCTCACATTTTTAGGAGGATCATTCTTTGAAGAAAATATTTTGATGGACCAAAAACGAAATTGAGATATTTAGGAGGACCACAAACATATTTAACCCAAGTTTAAAAAAAATCAATATTTCTACCATCTAAATCAAAAACATAGGAATGAAACACTAAAGACACAAATCATTCTCGGCAAAATAGGGTTCAAATTTCATATATAAGTAGATGAGTTCTCATTGAACTAGCAAATCCCACAATAGTAATAGGTTTTTTTCTTTCACAAATCTTATAACCTTGTTCTGGAGCTGCACTAAAAAAAATTTTTTTTCGAAAAACATCATAAGTATAAAAAAAAAACATGAGAATGTTCATGGAAAAAGAAAACAATAATAACGAAAATAAATGGGCATGGAGGGAGATTTCTTTCTATCTGACTTTACTTTTAGATTTGTTACTTGAATGCATTCTTAACCTCAAATTAAGCTCAAAAATGTGTAATAGAAACTGATACGAAAACAAAATTGAAACAAAAATTAAATCAGTAAAAAATATCAAAACTATTTAAGAGAAGAACCATTTTAAAAGGAAAAATTTAACAAAATATGTTATCCCTAAATAACAAAAGAAATATACAATTCAAAAATATCAGAGTTGAGAATAAAAGCTTGTTAGAAGAATATGAAGTTCGTTGAGGAGCTTTACAATTTATAGTGATGAGAAGGATAAGGTTTTGAGAAAAATCGCAATAGGAAGGTGCTACTTGATTTCCTACAACATTTCAGATGAATGTAGCACAAGGGGTTTGATTTAAAAGGAAAATGTTGATAGAAATTAAGGTGATTGATCAGACTGCTATGAGTGAAAGTACTGCAGGGTTGAGTTTTCAAGAAAATTTCAACAGCTTGTTTGCAAATATCAGACTACTCGTTGCAATTTGTATGTTAGATCAAATGAATTGCATACAAAGTAGTTAACCAAAAGCCAACCAGTGGTTAGTTTGAAATCAATTGACAATTTCAGTTGGATTATGTTGATTAAAGACAAATTATGCCACTAAATTTATGAAGTGGAGAAAGAAGACAAAATGGTGGATTTATAATAACCAGAACAACTAATGTTTTTATATTTATAGAATTAATAGAAGAGATTTGTAAGGCTAATGGAAGTGATTTAAAAGACTGAAGTGTTACGTTTTTGAATTAAAAGATTAAAAAAATAATAAATTAAGTTAAAAAAACTAAAATATATATTAAACCAAAATTAAATTAGGGTATTATATAATGGCTAACGGTCTTCATATTCAAACTAATTCAAATAAAATCATAAACAAATTTAAAATAAAATTAAAAACCAAAAATAATATACTATGATTATATTTTGTAAAATATATATCATCATAATCTACTTCTTTTCATTCGCCTCCATTACTTACATGAAAATACCAAATTAAAAATAATTTCCAAATATACTACAAAAATGAAATATAATATGCTTTTACGACGGTGATGAAAATTGAAAAGAGGAAAGCTCAATAGCTCATAAACTTTCTTATAGACTTGCCTCGTACTATATAACCATTTAGTATACAAATTGCAATTTGGCTTCACTTAATTGATAGAAATTAGAAAAGAACCTGAAATCATGATACATAATACTATTACCCACATATTTCTTTTCAAGAACATTAAAGGGTGACCATTCTGCCCACCACATAGACACATTAATATCATACTATTACTACTAGATTATACATGTGCAACATCAAGGATGAGCTGAAAAGAAAGCAAGCAGGCCCACAAGTGGTGCATTGATATAAGTTGTGGGCTCAGACTGCTGATAGAAAGGCCTTGAATCAGGGAACGAATCTGTAGTATTCGTGGGCCCACCAACCACAGCTCCAACCAAGACGTTTGGGTTTGGGTTTGGGCTGAAGAAATATTGAGATCCAGCTTTGCATCCAATCCGGGCCGGATGGGCCGAAACCGATGGAATCGAGCTTCCTCTATGGTGTATCCTCTGCGGGTAGTGTACACCATATCCAACCATGTAGGACATTCCCAAAGGGTTATCCCCAAGAATGTAGTCCACCTAGTAATAACAAATGAAAGCAACTTTCACATTCACATTCACATGGATGAATTATTGTTATTAGAATAACGTTGCCTATATCATGTGCTGATGTCATTTTATTTTACTTGAATGAGTTCAATTACATAAAGGACAAAATCTAGCCGTTAGTTTTGTCTGAAGTACTAGAAACTGGTCCCAAATGAATTATTATTAATCAATTAACGGTGAAATGAAGCTGACCTGGCGTTTGGCAAGTCTTTTGAGTAAAGCTGGAGTGGCAGTTGTATCGCCACATGGCACGACCTTGTTGGCATGGCTTAGGTAGTTGGAATAAGCTAGCAAGAGGAAGGATAAAGACGTTACATGTTGCATGTTACTTCCACCAGCCTTGAAGATAAGCCCACCTTTATTCCATTAACCAACAAAACAGGAACTTGAGTTACCAAACAAACAAACAAACAAGCACTATAGTAATGTGTGCAATTTACTTGGATTGTGGTTGTAGTGTTCTTTACACATGGAGTACACTCAATCTAAGGCTTTGGTCACGGACACATGGGTGTCTAAATTAATCATGATCATTATTTAATTTAAATGCTATAATCACGGAGAATCACCTTTCTCAAAATAAATGCGAGAATATATAAATATATACCTGGGGAATATTGAACTTGTGGATGTGAAAATCCAGGTAATGTAGAACAGATAAATTCATCTGCATTCTGTTTGAATGACGAGAAATAGTTTGCTCTTCCCATTAAAACCTCCTGCATATGATAAAATAATGTTCATTTCTGCATTGTCCCAACTTCAAATGATAAATCAATTAATAATGCATATGAGCCAGAGGCGTGACAGCACAGGATAGATAGACTGATTGATTAAAATTAATTTACCAGAATAGTCAATAACAAGAAAAGAATGCAAGAAATATGATGTTGATGGAGGCTTATCTCTGGAGGAAAGAGAAGTAATTGTGCAGAAAATAATGGTATGGTGCACATGTATGGTGCAGTAAAGGATGTGACCTATCCGTTTGCCAGATCAAAAAGGATGAAAATCATTAAAGGCTAAGACTTTTTGTTCCAAAATGTTTACCATATGGAGTACAAAGAGTTTGGCAACTCAACTGGTTCAGATTAAAGCGACAATACATTTCACCCTAATTCTAGTCCTACAAATTATAATGACAAAATTGCCCCTTGAAATCAATGTCATAAATAAAAATATAGTAATGGCATACACCCCCAATTTTGGATCAAAGTTCCAATTATCACGGAATGTCCCGCTTGTATAACGGCTACCCACATGATACTCAAAAATGCAATTCATATCATGTGCAAATGCAATTATCACCATTTCACACCACCTTTTCTCATTATTATCTTGACTTTCCTTACCAATCAATCAATAAATAGATAAAGCTTTCTTTCTAAATAAAAATATAAAATCCAATCTGTACTCACATTCCCTTTCTTGTTGTACCATTCATATGCACTCAACCTAGTTCATTATTGTTTCGTAGATTCCTTTTATGACCCACCAATTAGATAAAGTCAAATTTATACTACTTTATTCTCCTGTCCATTTTTAGTCCAGCTTTAATTCATATAACCCTTTTTACCACAAGTAGATTACTATCTAATCCATCAAAGTTAAGCTAATTAACTCATATTAAACACTACTAAGTATAATTAATTAAACAATGTAAAAACAATAACTCAACATTCATTCCTTGTGATTAATAATATGATATGCATAAACTGGGAATGGACCAATAGGAATAATAGAGTCCTAAATGGAAAAAGTGAATCACGTTGCACAGAGCACGTGATGTGCAACTTTATCTCTATATTGCTATTAGATTGAATGATTGAATAGTACTTTCACACTACCCTCCCACATGCCCAACGGGGAATGCAAGACAATAGGAACAAAAACAACACATAAAAAGACAAAAACACTTCGATAACCATCCACAAAACATAACAACCGATAATATAATTTATAAAATAAAATAGCATACTTCAATCTAATACTAATAATAAAATACTAGAAAAGTTAAAACTCATTTACCTTAGAAATGAGGACATTAATGCCTGCATGTTTGTTATCCCAACCAAATTCATTAATGGTATCCCCAGCTCTCAAAACGACTTCGTTTCGAATAATGTATTCTCTGTATAGACGCCTACGGGAAGCTTTGTGCAACCACGCTGCTGCCCAAAGCAACTCGTCCTAAAACAAGATGACAAAGAAAAGTAATCAAATCTAACGGTTAGTATTGAAAGGTGAATGCACTACACAGAAATAGTACTGTGTTCTGCAATGTGTTATTACTATCACGTGATGTACCTGATAACCGTTTACATCGCAGTAAAATGGGCACACTGCACGGTGTAGGCTGTTACTGTATGCACCACGATGTCTGTCAGCGAAATCGAACACCTGCACCCTCGCCATAACCAACGGTCATTTTCTCACGATATTTTAACGGAAAATATCATTAAATGCATAAATCATAACTGTAGTAATACCAACTAACTCCGTGATACTACAAAAGTAACGAAACCGTAACTGAAAAGAAAATCAAAGAAACAAAAAAGGAAAAGAAAGCAGTAGTAAAAGTAAAAACTGAATTCAATTCCCAGTAAAGTGTTGGGTGGAATGGGCGCAAAAAAGTGATTTCTTCTTTACGTATTTACCACCGTTCTTTTTTTAACTACTTTTTAATTAAAGCCAAACAAAAATATTTTTTCATTTATTATTCATTTCTAACATTCATTAATAGAAAATAATAATAGGATAAAAAAACAAATAGAGAAAAAACAATGAGAGTGACGCACCGTAACGGCACGATTGAGGAGCTTTTTCGAGTAAGCAGGATCACGTGATCTGAAGACGATGGAAGCAGCAGCAAGTGCAGCGGCGGTTTCACCTGCCACGTCAGAGCCAGGGTGGGACCCGTCGATCTTGAAAACGGTGCGGAGAGTATCCATATCCTCCGGTCTCTCCCAACAGTTATGGTCTGATAAAGGATCACCAACCTGAACAAACACCACGCCGGAACCTATCTTTGACGTCGCCTTTAAGAGATAATCCGTTCCCCATCTCACTGACTTCAACGCGTTCCAAAGCTCAGGTCCCATTACTTTCTCAAAATCGATCACGCTCCATGAAAGCATCGTCGTGGTGAACGCCATCGGGAATCCGAACTTTATATTGTCGCCGGCGTCGTAGTAACCACCGGTCAAGTCCACCTGAAACAAAAAAAAAACGACAAACAACACAATGCAGGTCAGTTAAGTCCTACATTGCAAAATATAACCAAAACAGAGCATTATGATATACGAGTGTAGTGTACTTACTCCGGCAGTGGCTCCGTCGTGCATTCCGGAGTCCCGGCGCCATCGGAGTCTCTGATCAGATGGTAATTTTCCAGAGCGTTGTCCTTCGAAGAAGAGAATGCTCTTGCGGAGAGCATCGTGATAGTCGTGACCGGCGGAGATAGAAGGGAGCAAGAGAAGGAGTACGGTGAGGACGCGAAATGTAGTAACAGAGGATAAAACATTTCGCGCCATTTCTCAATTTTTTGCTTCCAACTATAACCCTGAGAAATGAAATGGTGAGTGAGTAATGTTAATGTTGAGTGTGTGAGGAATGAAGAAGAAAACCGTCTAAGGTAGTTAAATAAACCATAAAGTGTCCTTGGATTCCAGTGGGTTCTCCAATGAGTGACAGCCACGTGGAGATAGCGAGAATGGTTTGATTTCGGAGCCCAATGCAATAGCTTGACTGCATATTGACCGGGTTCGGGTATCGGGTCGGATTATAATAATGAAGGCATGTGATGGGTACCGCCAATTAGTGGGAAACACGTGGATTAGGAGGGAAGAGGGATGGGGTCCCGATGGGAGAATGATTGTGAAGCGTCAGATGGTTTGACTGTTTGTGTTGAGTGTATCTGTATGGGGAAGAGGAAACCATGTGACTCTGTGTTAAGTGGTTGAATTGAAATTTTAGAGTAAATACTGTAGCTAGTTAAAACTACTACTGTGCCCGTGGTTGTTTTTAAGATAAAGTATTATTATGCCCGTGAATGGTTTTCTTAAAGGAATTTGTGTATAATAATTAAAAATTGAGGTTCATTAACTTTTTTTTTACAGTTGCACACAACAAAAAAGCAGACTTGTAGTAATATCACTTCTATGGTACACAATCCAATTAAATCATATAATTGTCCATGATTTTATATCTACCTTGAAGAAATGTTATACAACGTCTTTTTTGTACAGATTTTGGCAATTTCACATAGTTGAAATGGAAATGATTGTAAGAGTAAAGAAAAAAGAGGAAAGAGCTACAAGTGATATAACACATACAAGTTTACAAGTGATTTTTGTATTATAATATTAATAGTAATTCATATTTATTTAGTTGTACTATTTTTTTAGCCCCTAAGTTTGTTAGAGGGTATTTTAGTATTTTATCTTATTCTAGTAACCCTAGTTTTAGCTTATAAATAGGGTGACAATAATTGTAACTTTTATCATGTTTTGTAGTCGTCATTCTTAACAGAATATTTCCTTTCATCATCATTTATTCACCTTGCATCAACAATTGGTATCTAGAGCTCCGGTTCAGATTCATTGGGAAACACGGGAAACACGAGTGAACGTGAGGTCTTGTGTGTTTGATTTTGATTCTTAGATTCGTGTTGAATCCTGAACAAAATTTGATCAGAATTTTATTCTGTGGGTTGGGAAACACTGTGTGAGAAATCTGAGTATATTGTGCAAGGTGAAGATGAACGGAAACGGCAACATGAACACCAAGCTTCCAGTATTTGACGGTAAAAACTAGAATTGTTGGATGATCCAAATGCGTGTACTGTTTGGTGCTCAAGATGTTTTAGATCTTGTCACTGATGGTTATGTTCCGATAGCAGCAGATGCAACGGATGAACAGAAAAACGCGCAGAAGGAAGTAAGGAAGAAGGATCAGAAAACATTATTCTTTATTCATCAATGTGTTGATGTAAATGTGTTTGAGAAGATTGCAGATTCAACGACAGCAAAGGTTGCGTGGGACACACTGGTTAGATGTTATGGTGGTGACGCATCAGTGAAGAAGGTGAAGCTTCAGTCCTTGAGAAAGCAATATGAGAATCTCAACATGAAGAATAATGAGAAAGTCTCTGAATATATCTCCAGAATGATTCTGATCACTAATGAGATGAAGGCGTGTGGAGAAACTCTTTCAGAAGAAACAATCATGGAGAAAGTATTGAGATCCCTTACTCCTCAATTTGATTACATTGTGGTAGCAGTAGAACATTCCAAAGATCTGAGCACCATGAGAATTGAAGAGCTGCAGAGCAGTCTAGAAGCGCAAGAGTTGCGTTTAACTGAGAGAACTTCTGAAAAGGAAGTAGAGCAGCAGGCCCTGAAAGCAACTTCTGATAGGAGGTATCAGAAGCAGTTAGAAGCCAGGAGAAGATCTGATGGTGGTCAGAAGTCAGAAAGCTCAACCTCTGATAGACAAAAGAATGCTCGGAAGGGAAAAGAGAAGTATGACAAGAAGAAGATCCAATGTTACTGTTGTAAGAAGTTTGGTCACTTTGCTAGAGATTGTTGGTCAAACAAGGAGAGAAAATCAGAAGAAGCAAATATAGCCAGAAGTTCTGATAACAAATTTGTGCTATTGATGGCTTCTGAATCTGATAATATGGATATGATAGACTGGTGGTATATGGACACTGGTTGTTCAAATCATCTTACTGGAAACAAGAAATGGCTGGTTGACTTTGACTCTGAAAAGAGAACAAAGATCAGATGTGCTGATGACAAATATCTTAATGCAGAAGGTATGGGAAATGTCAGAGTGATTCTAAACAATGGGAAAACAACATTGAATCAGAACGTGTGGTATGTACCTGGCATCAGAAGCAATCTGATGAGTGTGGGACAATTAATTGAGAAAGGTTTTTCAGTTACCATGAAGGACAATCTTCTGAAGCTGTATAACTGCAATCAGAAGTTGATTATGGAGTCAGAACAGGGAAGGAATAGAACATTCAAGGTGAATGCCAAAACTGCAGACTCAGAATGTCTTAGTGCAACATGTGCTGAGAAGGAGAGTGAGCTGTGGCACAGAAGATTTGGTCATTTGAATTTCAGAAGCCTAAAACATCTGAATTCAAAAAAGCTGGTACATGGAATTCCTGCAATTAAGAAGCCTGAAAAGTCATGCAAAGTTTGCATGGAAGGAAAACAACCACGTTTGCCATTTGCGTCAGAAGTTGCTCCAAAAGCAAAACATGCCTTGGGAGTTGTACATTCTGATGTGTGTGGTCCATTTTCAGTAGCATCAATTGGAGGGAATAAATACTTTGTGATTTTTGTTGATGAATTCACAAGAATGACATGGGTATCCCTTATTAAGTTCAAACACGAGGTGTTTGATGAATTCAAGAAATTCAGAATGAAGGCTGAGAATCAGAGTGGTCAGAAGTTGAAGATTCTTAGAACTGATGGTGGAGGTGAGTATAACTCCAAAGAGTTCCAGAAGTTCTGTGAGGAGAATGGAATTGAGCATGAGGTTACTGTTCCTTATACCCCTCAACACAATGGTCTTGCTGAAAGAAGAAACCGTACTTTGCTTGATATGGTGAGAAGCATGCTAAAGGAGAAGAAGCTTCCTCAGAAGCTCTGGGGAGAAGCTGTTGCCACTGCAACGTATATACTCAACAGATGTCCTACGAAGAAGTTGAAGGAAATAGTTCCTATGCAGAAGTGGACTAGAGACAAGCAAAGTGTTAATCATCTGAAGGTGTTTGGTTCTATTTGCTATAAACATGTTCCAGAAGCCAGAAGACAGAAGCTAGATGATAGAAGCAAAGTGATGATTCTGATAGGGTACCACAGTACAGGTGCATACAAGCTCTATTGTCCAGAAACCAATAAAATTGAATTCAGCAGAGATGTGATTGTGAAGGAATCAGAAGTTTGGAATTGGGATAAGTCTCAATCTGATTCTGATGTTAGAACTTCTGAAGAAAGGTCAGAGTTAAGAATTTTTGAAGTTGAAGTAAACTCTGACGTTGATTCTGACTCTGATAGTGATTCTGACTCTGGAGAAGACTCAGAAGATGAAGGTGACTCTGATGATCCAGACTCTGATGGTAATCCAGATTCTGGTGGAAATTCAGACTCTGAAGATGGCCAAGACTCTGAAAATATGCCAGATCTTGAAGATGGTCAAAGCTCTAGAGAAAGTCAACCATCTGAAGCTGGAAACTCTGAAGCTCAAGACTCTGAACAAGTTCAGAGACCACAAAGAATCAGAAGCGTTCCCAGAAGATTTGCAGAATTTGACATGCCTCAAGACACTGAAGTAGACTCTGAAGGAGAAGTTATTCAGTGTGCCATGTTAGTAGACTCTGAACCTATAAGTACAGAGGAGGCTCTTAAGCAGAAGCTCTGGCTGAAGGCCATGAAAGAAGAACTTGATGCTATAGAGGGAAACAAGACTTGGAAGCTGACAGAACTTCCAAAAGACAAGAAAGCCATCAGCGTCAGATGGGTTTTCAAGCAGAAGTTAAAGCCAGATGGCTCAATTGACAAACATAAAGCAAGGTTGGTAGCCAGAGAATTTCTACAAAAACCTGGGATGGGTTACTCTGAAGTGTTTGCACCTGTAGCAAGACATGAAACAATCAGAATGGTGATTGCAATAGCTGCTAACAGGAATTGGCCTCTGATGCATTTAGATGTAAAATCTGCATTTCTGAACGGTCCATTAGAAGAAGAAGTTTACGTGTCACAACCTCCTGGATTTGTGAAAAAGAATCAGGAAGGGATGATGTACAGATTATACAAAGCTCTATATGGATTGAAACAAGCGCCCAGAGCTTGGAATCAGAAGATTGATTCATTTTTCAAGAAGCAAGGCTTTCAGAAATGTGAGATGGAGTACGGTGTCTATGTTCAGCATACTTCTGAAGGCAATATGACTCTGGTATGTTTATATGTTGATGATATACTATTGACTGGAAGTTCTGAACAGGAGATAGCCAAGTTCAAGAAAGTTCTGATGAATGAATTTGAAATGACTGATCTAGGCAAAGTGACATACTTTCTAGGGATGGAGTTCAGATATTCTGAGAAAGGTATCATTTTGCATCAGCTCAAGTATGAATCAGAACTTCTGAAGAGATTTGAACTGAAGAATTGTAAGATTGTTGTCACACCTTCAGATGCAAATCAGAAACTGGACTCTGACTCTGATGGAAAGGATGTGGACGCTACAACCTTCAAACAGTTGGTTGGTTCTCTGAGGTATCTGTGCAATACCAGACCTGATATTTGCTACTCAGTTGGGATGGTTAGTAGGTTCATGAGTAAACCTAAGTGGTCCCATTACCAAGCTGCTGTCAGGATTTTGAGGTATATCAAGGGAACTCTGAAGTATGGAGTGTTATTTCCCTCTGGAGGAAATAATGAGTCAGAACTTCTGAGTTATTCAGACTCTGATTGGTGTGGAGACAGAGTTGACAGAAGAAGTACATTTGGGTACTTGT